AGGGGATCTCGTAGTCGAGCAGTCTCGACTAGAGCTTTCTTACTTGTTTATATTAACTTACAACTTAATTTAGTCAATTCAGTAAACAAATGTATAAACATAAAAGAGTTAAACTGTTTTTATAATTTTAAAGTTAACTCAAATCATTTGCGCATCAATAATTTGTATAAAATCTTCCGACTTCCCTGTGGTTAGCAGCTGTACTTTTATTTTGGATATCATTAATCTTTAAATGTTGCCAAGGGAAATACTGATTCGTGTACAGACCATTAAGCTGAGCCAACAGAGCGAACATTTCAGGGCCAAGAAGTGACTAGTTAAAGCACATTGTATCTCTTAGCGGGCTACTGTTGGCTGAGCTCCGACCAACTCGGAACAGATTCAACAAATTCCACAATCAAAGCTGCTCAAAAACTGCAAAGTTCCTCTTGTTCAAGCGAAGACAACAAATTTATGGGCTAATTATGTATGGGAAAACATGTTTTATGCTTCTAGTCTATGATGAATCTGTAGTCTTTTAGTTTAGTTTGAGTTTTTATCATCAACATGTCTGTCGACTTCATTTCACTTGACTCGCGCGCTTAGCCCAACTTCCAAATGTCTGTGATTTATTTATGAGGATAGCCGCAAATACTATGAGCTTAAGCATTGGCCGGGGAAGCTCTTTAAGCTATGAAACTTTAATGTAACAATAAATATAAACAAGAGAACTTAAGTCTAACTAGGAGAATTTTTCCTCTTTTGAAATATTTTGTTAAATAACTTTTGGGCTTCTATTGTGAGAGTTTTATAAAAGTTAAACTTTCATTTAAATATTCATATGTATTTATAAACTGGAAAACAAATTGTTGTAAACATTTGTTCATATTTGGTGGATGGAGAGGATGTTTTAAATGTTTTCATGTTTTGTAAATTAAGTTCTAGAATTGTAAAATTGATATTGTTTATAATTGATATTCTAGAAATGAGAAAAATATATAGCCTACACAGTATATATAGATTTAATATTGTACATTTTATTGGAACTTTTTATATATTTATTATAATTAATAAATAAATGGGCTAATGCATTCCTGTTTGGCAAACTTTCTTTTATGTGGAATAAAAAATAAAAAGAAGCATATTATGCTAGATTATATATGATTGAGACGCCTGCAATCAATCGACTCAACACTTTATATACACAAAAATAATTATTTATGTATTTATGGAAATTCATACAACCATAAATTTTAATTTGGCCAATCAAATATATCATAATAAATGAAAGGCATTTATTGTTTGTAAATTGATTGATTTTTAAATATAATATAAATATATGTATATACAACATTGATTTACATATTTATAGAGAAAATATAGTATATAAAACCATTTCAATTATATGCAAATATTTTTGTATTTTTTATAGTTCCCACGCTTCACTTGTAAAGCAGTTACAGTTAAGCTTAGCTAAGAGCAAAAACATCTATAATTTCTCTGTACTCTAGAGCTATTGCTTACCTACATATATGCAGTTAAACTGACTACGTTACCTAAAGATCTGTGGCAATCTGTCCATAACTGCAACAGGTAAGCGCATATTATCCAACAGCAGCAACAACAACAACAACAACAGCGAGTGCCACCTTTTAAAGCAGTCGTAAATAATTGTAGAGGAGGCGCAAAACAAAGTGACAAGCGACTTAGTTCTCAGGCAATGCTAAATGGTTTCCTGAAACACGAAAAGGGTACAAACCGAAACCTGGAACCCCACTCAAATGCAACATTTGTATCTATCTACATGAACAGTTATTTCGTAGACGAGTGGGGGAGACTTGTTAAAAACAAAACAACAAGAAAAAAAAAGAAACATTTACGCAAACTCCAAAACAATAGCAAAACAGCGATAATTAAGAGAGAGAGATACATAGATATAGTGCACGAAAGAGAGGGAAGATTTGATTTGTTGAGTCAGGTAAAGTAAATTTTAAGTACAGGCGGCATTGCTGCATTGCAGCTGAAAACAATGGAGAAGCAACAACAGCTAAAGCCAAAGAAGTCGGAGAACGCTAGAGAACACGACTAGGCACATACCCTATAACCACCTCCTTGGCTTAAATGGTTTTACTACAGCTCTCTCTAGCTTTATTACAACTAATTCTACATAAAAACTTTTTTTTTGTATTTAAAAAAATATATACATTAATTTTATATGTATATATTTTTCGTATCTTTTATAACTATAAAGCTTATATTTTTTTTCGAGACTTCAAATTTTTTGTAAGAGTTTTTTGACTTTTACACTGACAACATTAGTCAATATACCCAGTGTGTCGCCTGGTTACAGGGTAGAGAAACACTTTGCCAAATGCGCAAAACTCATGCCGTTTAGCCAAAAGCCGTTACATAATTTCGCAAGCCAACTTGCAATCTATATACCAGCTATATGTACATATGCTATATATCTAGGTAAATATACATGTATATAGGTATTATGGAGGTCTTTAAACTATTTCGAATGCAGCTCCAATTTCTATTTCTACTTCTACTTCAGTCGCGCAGTCGCGCATGCGCAGCCGAGCAGCGAAGCGCCTCACGTCTGACTCACTCGAAATGGGTCAAAATCGTTGTAGTCAAAGCAATTTGATTTTTCGGATTTTGCAATGATTCCGAACCTGCCCACGGGCGCTATGTTTGGCATCTGTTGTTAATTTGCTTCTGCTTTGCATATTTGAATCGGTTGGTTTGATTGGCCATCAAATTGCATTTTCATCGCTGTTAATGCTCTGTGACCTTGTAGCCAGTAGATCTTGATGAGCGCCGTCTAACAAGCTCTGACGGCGGCAGAGACGGTGCTAATTGCAATCATTCAAACGAGCTACCATAAATCTAACTGTATTTTAATTCATCATCTATTAAATTTAACTTTGAATACTCAATATGCAAATACATTTATTGGCTGAGCATATGATGCTCTCTTCATAAATTTCGACTCCTTTTATTTGGGAGAGATAAAGAAAGATAAAAATGTACAGATATAGAGAGGGATAGAGAATGGCTGGTTGAAAATGAGAGTTGCAGAGGATGAGAGAGAGCAAGGGAGCTAAATTGATAGAGTGAATTAGAGATAACAAGTTCATAAGAAGATAGAAGGAAGCAAAAAAAGGTGGATTCCTTTTTGAGTGGTGAAAGGAGAGAGCTTAAGAGTTCAGAAGTTGACTTGAATAAAAATATAGTTATATAGTAGTCTCACTACTAAATATCATCAAACACATATACAAATACATCACAATACAGAAAAACTACACAAAGAAAACACCATAAGACTATACCAAAACAAAACTACACACAAGATCTACACTACACGGAAACACTAAAAAAACTGCATAAAAAATAATAAAGATAACATTATAAACTATCTACAGATGGCATATGCACATGTCTATAGAGAATGAACCGCTTGCACGTGGATAGCGCGGCTCCGAAGTATCAGAGCGGCAAGTGGTCATGGGATGAGAAAGCGGATGGACTGCATTTTCAGCAATTCTTCGACTTGGAGAATGCAAACGACCGCTATGTGTTTACGAACGGATATAGGTTCCTGCGGACGATCAACCAGGAGGAGGAGCTGGTCTTCCGGGAGCTGTTCGCCCGACCCGACACCACATTCGATGCGGATACCGTGGTGATTAACGACGTACGCGATCTGGTATTGTTCATGATGCCGAAAGAGTTCATCTCTAGGAAGTTTTTAGAGTTCATGCATAAGCCAGCTGTCCATAGGCTGCTCCATGCTCTCATCATATACTTTGAGTATTTTCTGCGCCTGGTAGAGTTCCTGCTGATTCGCCGCGACGAGCTGTCTGGGAATATGGCGCAGGTGCAAAGCGAGCAGACCAACGAGATGAAGCGAATATTCTCAACGAACCTGAGGCTGTATCGCATGCTGGTCGCTCGGAACTACAGCGCGATCGTGCTAGGCGACGGCGAATTGAAGAAGTTCTACCATACCAAGGAGGTCGTCAACATATCGTCAACGATCAAGGATCTATACTTTTACGAATACTTTCTAGCGGTCAGCACTCAGATCGTCTGGATCACGATGCATAGGCGAGCCTACTACGTGATCGAGATGGAAATGAATCGACTTTTTCGATCCGAACACTTTCTAAGTAACTGCCCGAAGTACCTCAAATTCACACCGGTCGAGCGATCCCTGCTCTATGGCTGCAACAGCAAGATCTTTAATTATCGCGCCCAGATTTCGCCGCTGATTCAGGAGCTGAGGAACGTAGCCGAGGAGGATATGCCGGTGCTATGGATAGGCGAGCGTAAGTATCGCGGCACCGATGCCCGAATTGCCCAGGTGGAGATGGAATATATTGTGCCGGGGCCCCAGCTGCATATGATAGACGTGGCCCACGGCATACTGGGGCATCCGAAGAAGCTATACGATACGATCCTGATGCTGGACTGGCCGTCGGTGCGCTTCGCCAACTATTCGATGCAGCACGATCCCTACTACATCATACGACAGCCCAGCCTGACCCTGCCCAACTTCGACGAGCTGAAGCAGCGTAAAATGGCGCAGAGCTATGAGAAGTACTACCGCCTGTTTCGCATCTACGAGGCATGCAGCCACGAAACTCTAATGAACTGGTTGCATCGCGAGCAGATCATGACCTACTATAAGAAGGGCGGTGATCTCTTCAACATATTTGCGCGCTGCGAGCATCAGCTAGTCGGCGAGGACAAGCGACCGGCTGTGGCCAAGATAGTCGCCAACTACTTCAGTGTCATATCCAGGCTGCGCAAGAAGAAGACCGAACTGTTGGCCACAGGCGCGACAACTGTCAGCTATAAGAAGGAGGGCCAAGACTACTTCTTTGACTAGAGGCGTCATTTTAGACTTATACTTTTATATTCGCACACAATAAAACTTGTAACACGAATGCTTTACATTTCTCAAACTATTGTTCTTGCATGCGTACCGCTCTTCTGCGTGCTTCTCATGGGTACGGCTATAGAGAAGTAGTAGAGTCTTAAGTATATCTAAAAGTAAGTAAGTATATCTAAAACTGTTCTTCTTCACTCAAGTCTCTCTCGCTCTGTCTCAACTGAACTCATTTCAGTGAAAATTTCAAGGCTGCCGACAAAAATCAATGTATTTGGCAAATTTGATACGTTTATTTATGTTATTTTATGCCAACGGAATTCGTTTTTGGGTCATATTTCACCCCAACTCAATCCCAACTGAGTTGCCCAATCCGCCGTCACATAAACTTGCTCATCTATGCGCGATAACAGAATCCAGACAGCTTTGTAATTAACCAATGTCTATATATCGTATTGTTTAACCATACGAGTTCGAACCGAAAACCAAAGAGGGGTGCATAAATTAGTGCCTTTTTTTTGTGGACTCAAATTAAATTAAATACTCGCAAAGTACTGGCAAATAGACTTGAGCTAAGAGCATAGACTAAATGTCTTCCAGCTACTCCGCCTCCGCCTCCTCCTCCTCCTCCCCCTCCGTTTCGACACATTGTTTGGGCCACTTTGGCTGACACTCAAATTCGATATCAGATTTTGCGTGTGGCAAAAGGCAGAAGGCGAATGACAAAAGGCTAAAGGCAAAAGTTTTGCCAATTTCTGTCAGCTATTTACTACTGCTATGCTATTGTCTGATACCCTGCACCCATGTGCACGGCCTCAAAGGGTATAAGCAGCGACAAGTGCAAAGCTATATAGAAATTGAAATTTACTAGCGAAAAGCTAACGCACAGGCTTAGCTCTCAACAAGTAAGAACGTTGCAGTCGGGCGCTACCGACTGCGGAATACTCATTCAC